TAGAATGTGTTGTTGTCAAAATAAAACATTCCTTTCTAGAAGCCCAAGGTCAACCTTTGTCTCTGCACCTCTGCACCTGACCAGAAGTGGATGGGTGGAAATGCCAGCGTGGCAGTGAAAGACTGGACCATGTGATGGACTTGTGGGTATGGGGGCAAGATCATGAACTTTCAACTTGGCGGAAAACCCAGGAAGCTTTCAGATTCAGGTTTTCCAAGATGTGCCAACATGCCTCTCTTAATAAATTGGAATTTTGCGGAAAGCTCTGCCTTGAACTCTGATTTAATTTTGGATGGTATTTGGAACGCTGACATTCAGCTTCAGTCCTTTCGACCTTGCTGCTTTTGTTTGACCCCAGGTGAGTGTGTGTGTGTGTTTTAACAGAAGGCATGAGGCTCACCGGCGCTGGATCTGCCTGGCAAAATTGTTGCTGGAGGCCGAGCAAGGGAACTGAACGGCCTCGCTGTGGAGGGTGGCGTTGCGGAAGAGGTCGCAGAAGTTCTCAAAGAGTTCCAGCAGCTCGTCCGATGTGTTTTCAAAGACGGCAATCACCTCGGTAGTCACCATATTGTACACCACGAAGAAGGAAGGCTGGAAGAAGGAAGGAGAAAATTGCTTGCCGGTTGGGTAAGACACGAGACAGCCGTTTCGGGTGAGCAAGCCAACTCCCGCCGACCGCACAGCAAACCAAAAAGAAAACAGCTCGTTTTGTGGAAGGATCCTATCTTTTGCCACACATGCCTTGCATTTTCCATCATCTGAAAGGAGAGCCGATTTGACTGGGTTATTAACTGCTGTCAAATCGTTTACGAAGCTAGGTGAAATTCCTCCAATGCCTTCTTTTGCTTTGTTTATTTCGAAATGGACACTCAACATTCCACTTCTGCTTTCTCTGCCAAGGGTGATTTTGCTTCTCTTCTCAGAGAAGCAGATTTAATTTTAGTTCCTGCTGGGAAATGGGGTTTTTTTTTCTTTAAGTTTTTCCTCCCAGTCAGTTGTGAGCTGGCAGCTTATTATTCCTTCAGTATATGCAGAAAAGTGAGAGTGGTAGGACTTATTTAGGAAGGTGTTGGGGGGGCAATAATTTCCTTTGGCTGTCTTAATATTTCTAACATGCCGAGATCGAGTCTTTTAGATGGCATTGTGCTCTGCTGCTGCCTGTAAACACTGCACTGTTTAAGATCGCCTGCTGGTTTGGAAAAGAAAAGATGAGCGCCATTAACTATTTATTTTGAATTACTGGTATTCTTATCTAAGAACGTTGAAAAAGTCTGTTTTGATTTTAACCGAGTCTCCTAAGTAGCAGTAAAGAATTTTCCCCTTAGGAAATAAGATTGCAGGTGAATCCAAAAACTTGATCATATTTTGCATCTTTCTACAGAGAGTTGTAATTTAAGTTTTTGGAGCACTGAATCTTGAGAATCTTTTTTTTCCCTTAAAAAAAAAAGCAAGCTATAGTTTTTATTATCGTGAATGTTAAACCCTTGCTTATAAAATTATAAGAAAAATTAAGCCATCTGCATGCTTAGTTGACCCCTGGCAACGAAGCAATTTCTATACAAGTAGTCCTCAACTTAACTACAAAAAGCACAAAATTTCTGTTGCTAAGTAAGATATTTGTTAAGTGAATTTTGCCCCACATTATGACCTTTCTTGCCACTGTTGTTAAGTGAATCACCATAGCTGTTAAGTTAGTAACATGGCTGTTAAGAGAATCTGGCTTCTCCATTGACTTTGCTATTCAGAAAGTCTCAAAACGTGACTGCATGGCCCCAGGATCAGTGGTGGGATTCAAATTTGTTTACCACCGGTTCTGTAGATGTGGCTTGGTGGGTGTGGCAGGGGAAGGATACTACAAAATCCCCATTCGCTCCCCATCCCATTAACCTGCTTTCCAGCTCCATTCTCCTGTGCAGGGCAAGAAAAGACGACCCAGCTGATCAGCTGGGAGGCAGCAATAGACCAATCAGCTGGGACGGGGCCAGCCAGAGGTGGTATTTGCCAGTTCTTCAAACTGCTTAAAATTTCCGCTATCGATTCGCCAGAACCGGCTGAATGCCACCTCTGCCTGGGTACTGCAGCTATCATCAATATGAACCAGTTGCCAGGCATCAAAACCTTGATCACGTGACCAGGGGGATGCTGCAATGGTCAGAAACGTGAAAAATGGTCATCAGGTCACTTTACGACTTCAAACGGTCACTAAACAAGCTACTGCATGTCGAGAGCTACCTGTATTAAATCTCTCCATTCATCTCAGCTAAAATCTTTTGTTGTTGTTTTTTGGCCAAAAATAGATGTGGGGGCCAAGAAAAGCAGGAAAACCCTAGAAGTCTAATCTGGCTGCCAGAATAGTCAGAAGGGATGCTGTCGTATATCTGTGTCAATCATCGCTGCTTGAAATATGGGGGCAACCCTCTTCCACCCGCTTCCAATCACGAGAGGTGTGCTTAGGTCCATGATGGCAAAGCTATGGCACGTGTGCCACAGGTGGCATGTGGAGCTGCATCTGCTGGCCAGTTGATTTTCGGCCTTCTGGAGGGCCGAGGCAGGCCATTTTCGCCCTCCCCGAGCTTCAGGAAAGCCCCCGGGGCCTGGGGAGGGCAAAAAATGGGCCCAATGTGCCTACCAGAAGTTCAGAAATGATCCGTTTCCTTCTTCCAGAGGGCCTCTAGGTAGCCAGGGAGGCTTTGCATTATGGGTGCATTTTTGGCACCCAACAACAAAAAGGTTCGCCATCACGGGCTTAGGCCTTCCACTGAGCTGCCATGAGCAACCAAAACAACACTGCACCTGGGACACACAATATCTGAGAAACCTCCCACTTTTTTAAAGCCTCCATCAAGAAAAGGCCAATACTTTGAGAGGTGTCAGCTCCAAGTCACGGTCTTTTGAGCCCATCTTACACCCCCAAATGAAGGAGAATTCTGAAGAACTAAGAAGCAACCTATCAGGAGTGAAAGTCTGGGTCTGCACGTGATGGTCCAATTAAACTGATATATTGCTACTCGTGCCTATGCACAGGAATCTTCTCAAGTAAGAGTTGGCATCTGGAGTTAGACAAAGATCAATGAAATTCAAAGGGAGTTAAATATAGACCACTTGTGGCTACGCAGGGATTCTAGGCTGATCCCTCTTTTAATTCCGCCCCAAGTTCTGCCATTCCTTCTCCTACACACACACTACTCAAAAAACTATACAGCTTTTCACTGAAGAGGGCAATCAGACATACTGTCATACTATATAAAGGCCTATTTCTCTGATTGTTCAAGCTTCATTTGTTCCTTTAAGACCATCCTTTCTTGGTCTACAAATATTCGGGTTATGTTCCTCCATTGTTTCTTTAAAACTGGGGTTAATTTATCCAGTACCAATCATTTCCTCCTCCTCCCCCCCCCCGTCCCCCCATTTGATTTTCAGGATTTTTTTTTCTTTTGCACATTCTTGCAATCATCTTATGGAGCCCTCAAGAAATGTGTCCTATCAATCAGCCCAGGTTTTCTTTCTTTAGAGGACTCAATTGTATTAAGTCCTTCAGAGGGAACACTGTTTGCTTTGGTCCCAGCAGCACACATAGGCATGGTAAGAAGATCTCCTGGAAAATTACATCTCTTGCTCCATCTAAAAGGTGTAAAAAGTGAAACTAAACAACCAAAGCAGAATTTCGAGAATCCAAACTACCGTATTTATCGGCGTATAACACGCAGTTTTAAAACTAAAATTG